CTGATTTTTGGGGAGGCGGGGGGATTCTGACCAATCAGAACGCAGCGCTCAGGTTTGGCCTCCCCAATCCTGGAGGACGCCTCTCTGATTGGGTAAAGCCTTGTCCCCTCTAGCCAATAGAAGCGCAGGGCTCGGGAGGGGGGTGGTGCCGCCCGGGTTTATGAATGGTGGTCCCGATCCGGGCGCGGGGCGCGGGCAGGGCCGCTGCCAGACTCCTCCGGCCCCGCTGCCCCACGCGGGGCTGCCCGAGGACCCGGGGGGCAGCCTGGAGATGGCCACCCCCCGCCTTGGCCCCTCTGGGACCTCCCTTCTGGGACTCCCCCCCCTTGGCACCTCTGGGTCCTCCCTGCCACCGCTGGGTCCCGGCGGGTGGCACCCAGCCCGGGCCGGGAGCCAGGGCCTCACCCCCCTGGCAGCCACCCAAGAACACGGTATTTTAATCCGATTTTCTTCAAGGCGATAAATGGAGCCAGGGGGGATAAACAAGGAGCATCTCCAGCAGCAGGGCCACCCTCTGCTGTGGGGACAGGGACTGTCACCCCGGTGTCAGCACAGGGGCTGGATCCTGGGTCCCTTCTCCTGCAGCATCCATGGACAAGGGGCAGCTCCAGAATGTTCCATCGCAGGCAGACACGGCTGCAAACCTGGGGCAACTGCACCCATGGGAGCCAACCTGCCCCAAGCCCCCTGTGCCATGTCCCGGCTGAGCCCCTGCCTGGGTGCCACCGGGGCCCTCAGTCCCCTGACCATCCCTGTCTCCCCTCGCAGCTCATCCGTGGCGGAAGGCGATGGTCCCAGTGCCCAACAGCACAGTGGTGGTGCGGGCTGGTGAGGCGGCACAGCTGGAGCCGGAGCGGTCACCCTGCATGGTCGGCATCTTCCCCATCGTGTACTACAGCCTCCTGCTGGGGCTGGGGCTGCCAGGTGAGGGGTCTGGGGTGGGGGGGCTGCCCGGGAGCATGGCGGGGAGCACCCATCCTGCCTCATCTCAGCTGTGCACCCTCAGCCCAGCCTGTGCCCTCGGCTGCCAGCAGACCATCAGCTCCCGTCCCAGCCCTGGGGCTTTTGGGGATGGGGAGGAGAGTCCTCAGGGGTGGGGGAAACCAACCTGCTCCCCACGGCCCCCCTGGCCTCGGGGCCAGCCCCAGCTGCGGTGCC